ATAGGACAAGTCTCCTCCCGGCTCTGCATGAGACCGCTGGGCCATTCCCTCCTGGAAGGCTGTACACAGCCAGCCTCTGGACACAGACCCAGAGAGAGAAAAGGACGTCCCTGTCACACGGGGAGACTGGAGCCAGAGGGTTCACGCCTGTGCTCTTTCTCAGTCATGTGCCCCTTCCTGGCCACTCTTTCTGCCCCTCGTGCCTGTTAGGCTTGTTTGCTACCAGGGCTGCCAGAAAGTGAAAGAACTGAGTTGTCTCTCCCACCCTTCTCCCACTAGAACCATCTCCAATTCCCTTTCCAAGGCTTTGATCACTTGGTGGCTTGTGGTTCTGTGTGGCACGCTGCATAGGACACTGCGTTCTAATTCTTAGTCTGAGGTATAACTGGGACTGGTACCAGAGTTGTCTCATTCGCCAGCCAAAAACCATTTCTTGTCGGTCCTTCGAAGGGATTTCATCCCAAAAGCCTGCTTTAGAGCAGGTGGTGGTGGAAGGAGGTGGCATTAACTGATAAACACTTTTAAAAGACCAATTCAATGTATGCATCTTGCTGTACACCAGCAGATGGAATGTAGGCGGTTATATTTTATTGCTTTTACTGTAGGCTTAGATTTGGGTTGTAAAATAGGGTGACCTGACCCTATGGTGGATTGTGGGTACACTTGGAAAACAGGAACCTTGTTTTTGTTTCTTCTATCAGATTTTCCTTCCTTCCAGTGGATTCTTAAGTACTGGGCACCTGCTCCTCTAGCAACAGTGCTCAGTGTTTGCTTCCTGCCTCCTAGCTGGCCTCTGCAGCATGGCTATTGTGTTGGAGTAAACAGGCCACTTGCCTATGCAACTGGCAGCTTGATGGATGCCTACACCTAGATCTTGTCAAATCACTTGGTGGTTGAGTGTCTGCCAGGCCTGGGGGCGGGGGAGAATGAACAGAGCAAGGATAATTATAGCTGCTGCAGAAGACTGCTTGGACCTGAGGCAGACAGCAGAGTTTGGGACCAAGGTGTGACCATAAAGGCACAGTTGGCCCAGATCCCCCAAACACTAGTTTCCCCCACCTCTCCTGCTCTTGTGCTGGATGCTGGGGGAGCCGGTGTTCCCCACATGTAACAGATGGTCCCTGCACTTGGGAAGAGGCAGTGGGTTATAAAAGCAGGTTGGATATAACGGTTTTACCTGAAGGAGGTGTTAGTCTCTAAATAACCATGAGTGGGCTTATGGGAATTAGTCATAATTGAGGTTTTTCTCTGAGCTAGCTCGCAGTCATGTTATCTTATGACCAGGGTGTCTTGACTATGACACCCCCTGAACATGGCTAATTATATAGTACCCAAAGGTATAGCAAGTGCACACACATACTTAAGTTTTACTGTTAAAAATAATCCAGCAGAGCGCCTGTGAGAACACATGACTCCTCATCAAAGTTGTTAAGGAAGAGGTTTCTAAGTTACCAAACTTACTGACAGTTAAAACCTTCCTGAGGAATGTGTGGGCATTGGAAGCCAGGCCTGTGATGATTCGGTAGAAATTGTGGCAACTCAGTCGCCATTCCCGTGTGGGAAGGGTTGGCAGAGAGGGAAGTGGAGGTTATCTTTGGCTGGGCAGTTGGACACTTACGGCTTTCTCCTGGCACTTCTGAGTTAAAGGACAAAGCTGTCTCACTGCAAGTGAAAGACGCAAGAGCTAAACTCAGAAAGAAAAACACACTCTTCACAGTTGATCAGAAAACTGTGTAGGCCCTGAGATGAAATTAACAAGGAGATGGGCAGGTGTTTTTGATGCCAAAACTCTGCCAAGGAGGAGGCTCCTAAACTACCCGCAGCCAGACTGGGTGTGAAAGACGAGTGAGAAGTGGAAAATGAGAGTGGAGACAGACTCAGGCTGTGAGTGGAATGGAGAGAACACAGAGGCCTTTAAAATACGAGAGGAAGGGTAACTTTGCCCAAGATTTTGAATGGAGCAGGACGTCAGGAACATACAGGGATGGTGTGTTTGGATTCATTGTGGTTTGGTGGCATGAAAGAGGAGACTCTACATTGAAGTGACATTCATAATGTGCACAGAGTGGCAAGGTTAGAACACAAAGCCTAAGGGGCTGGAATGACACAGTTCAGGATTGGGTGATGAAGGGAGGTTGGAGGAAATAAATTTGAAGTCAAAGTGTGGAGCCCGGCGCTGGTGGTTCACACCTGTAATCCTAGCTACTGAGGAGGCAGAGATCAGGAGGATGACAGTTTGAAGCCAGTCCAGGCAAATAGTTTGTGGGACCCTACCTCAAAAAAAACCTACCACAAATCAGGGCTGGTGGAGTGGCTCAAGGTGTAGACACTGAGTTCAAACCCCAGTACCACAAAAAAAAAAGAAAAAAAGAGTGGACTTGAAAGGGAATGATCAACTCAGGAAAGCTTTTCACAGCTTTGAGGCAGTGGTATAGGAGCTAGCTCATTAAAGTCAGCTTCTGCGTTTCTGTGCAGTGGACAGGACATGCCTGAGTCCCAGGTTCCGCCCCCCACCACTCCCGGTTGACACTGACACCTGGAGAAAAAACTAAGGCTTTGACCTAGAGAAACAGAAACCAGGAAACAACCAATTAAAACCCAAAGCAAACCCCCTTTGCATTGAATTAAGCCTCAAACATGCACCTGACCAGGTGCTTCTCACCTTACCTACATTACTTCATGTTCCAGACAAAGGGATTGAAGTGACATCTTCAAGGTGGTGTAGCTAATTTGATAGGTGAGGAAAGTTGTATATCAGAAAGGTACAGTGGTTTTCCTGTGGCCACATTACTAGCCAGTGGCAGAGCCTGACATAGGACTCAGGTCTTGTGACTCCTGATCCTCCATCCTTGTACTCCGACATGCTGTTTCTCAGGGACCAGGAGACAGTGGGAAGTCACTGGAAGATTTTCAGCAGTCTGGGAGAGACCTGTCCCCCTGTGAGCAGACAAAGCAGTAATGACCATGGTGGTCCCTGCAGAAGGAGGCAGGAAGCCCAACAGGATGTTCACAGTGTTCTGGGAAAGATGTGGACTGGAGGAGAAGGGACCACTAAAATGGTGATGAAGGGCAGGTGACATGACTTGGCAATTCTTGTCTGCACAGCGAAATCCGTCTTCAGTGCATTGCTTCTGTTGGATTTAACCAGCACTCCTCAGCAATGCAGAGGCCCTCAGGGTGTTGACAAGGTAGCTATGAAGACAGAGATGTAAACAGCGAACTGAGGCAGAGTGCAGTATGCTGGGAGAGAGCCAAGAGTGCTCCTTCAACTAGCGGCTTGTTTACTGGAGGCATGGCCTAAGTGGTAGAGCACCCACTTGAACACCTGGGTTCAAACCCCAACGCTGGGAAAGTGGCTTGTTTGAGTGCAGTGGACACATTACTGAACACAGAACCTGGATTCTGTTTCAGACTCTGCCACCAGCCAGGTGTGTGACCATCAGACACCCACTCTTATCTTCTGGCTTATGTAGCTGCTGAATTAGCATGTGTCTAGATTCCCCTGAGAGTAGGTTTAGGATGGGGTTCAGCAACTTATGATCCATGGGCTGAAACTGGACAGCCACCTATTACTGTTTGCCTTGTGAGCTAAAAATAGCTTTTACACATTTAAATAGTTGAAAAAAATCAAAACAGGAATATTATATGACACGTGAAAATTATATGAATTTCAACTTTCAGAGTCCCTCTATGAAGTTTGATTGAATGCAGTCACACCATCATTTACATACTCTGTGGCTGCCCTGCAATGGCAAAATTGAGTAGTTAGAACAGACTGGGCTGCAAAACCCAAAATAGCTACTCTCTGGCAATTTGCAGAAAAGGCTTGTCCACCCCTAGTCTAGAATTTGAGTGCCTCACTGTGAGCTCTGACAGGGGCTGGAGCAGCAAAGGGGCCTTCCTGCTCCTTTCCTCCCAGCTCAATTAGAGAGCTGCATTAAGTGCTTCATGCTGAGTCCCCAGCATGGGTGAGCGAAAAGACAGTAGGAAGGAAAGTGAAGGAAGGGCAAGCAATGGGTAGATAGGGAAAGAGAAACAAAGAAGGCCTGAGGCAGAGAGGGAAAATGGGGGACCCACAGCACACTCTTCCACAGTGAATAATGTTCCCTGCCAGGCTGTTTGTCCCTCACTTAAGGAAGCTCTCTAAAGGACAGTGCAGGGAGAAGAAGCCTCGGGAGTGGATCTGAGACTGATTTCCCTGTTGAGCCCTTAACTGGGTTACTTTCCCTCGGTTGCTGCTAATACTTACTATGCCTCTGAGTCCATGCATGGTAGAGGCTACCCTACCCTGGGAGCCAGCAGAGTCCCTGGAGGACACTAAGCTCTGCCTGCTCCAGGACTTTACCTCCACCCTTCCCTCCCCTGGACACTTCTAGATCAGGGCTAGACAGACTTTGGGACCCTGGGGCCCAATCCGCCCACACCTGTTTTACAAACATAGCCCCAGTCACTTGTTGGACGTGTTGTCCTTGCTGGCTTTGTGCTGCAGTGGCAGAACAAAGTAGTTGTAGCCAAGACCCTGTGTCTCCCAATGCAGAAAAATATGTGTGGAGAAAGCTGACCGAGCCCCGATCAAGATTGTCACCTGGCTTGTTCCCTCTCAGCATTATTGTCTCTTGGACTCAAGGCCCCTCCCCAAAGAGTAAGAAGTAGTCCCCCACCTTAGTCACTCTCTGGTGTAATAATTAATTTTCTTCATAGCCATTATTACTTTTTGAAAATAGCTATTTACTTATGGATTTAACCTGTCTTTCCTCACTATAATAATTTAAGTTGCAAAGACTTTCTGGTTCACTGATATCTTTTAAGTGCCTAAAATGAATAAATGACATCACTGCCCCTCTCCAGATGTCAGAAGTCCAGAGAAAAGTCCCCAGACTCCGGCCCACTGTGTTTATTCTGGGGACTTGGAAAGTGAGTAGTATGGATCCAAGATCCCAGGAAGTGTAACCTGTGGCCTCCTTTGTCTTTCCCTGCTTCTTTAGGGGCCCTGAGAAGCAATGGCCACAGAAGCCCCTGTGAACATAGCACCACCTAAACCCAGCACTGTTGCCAGCACAGCCACCAAGAGCTTCCTCTGGCAGCCAAACTCACTAAAAATGCATGTCATCAGACCCAAGTCCGCCAAGGGCAGGAAGCGGCCAAGTCTGCACAAACCCCAGGGTACAGAGGAGAGCTCTCACTGCACACCTTCCTGTCCATCTACAGCCAGTTCCTCCGAGTTGCCAAGCAGCCAGAGACCAGGAACCTGTGCACCGGCATCTGCTCCTCCGGGAGCCTTCGATGAGATCCCAGAGCTGCTGCACCAAGTGCCCACTGGGGCCTCCTCTTCTCTCAATAAGTACCCGGTCCTCCCTTCTATCAGCAGAAGGAGCGTCGAGGAGGGGACTGTGGATACAGTGGTGAAAAAGGCCAGTTCACTGCAACTGAGTAGTATCCAGGCTCTTTACCAAGAGGAGGCCTGCACCTTGAAGACAGGCAAAGAAGATTCTAGAGCTCTAGCTTGTTCCCCGGAGAGGAAATTCATCATCCAAACCAAGAGACAGGGATTCTCCATGGCTGGAAGCCTGGAGGAACCATCAGACCAAGAACCCAGGCTGCTGCTAGCTGTCAGATCACCATCAGGCCAAAGGTTCGTGCGCCATTTCCGGCCCACTGATGACCTACAAACTGTTGTTGCCGTGGCAGAGCAGAAGAACAAAGCCACCTACCAACACTGCAGCATTGAAACAATGGAGGTGCCCAGGAGACGTTTTTCTGACCTCTCTAAGTCTCTGCAGGAGTGTGACATCCCCCACAAGTCAGTGCTGGGCATCTCTCAGGAAGAGGGGGAGGGGTGGGTCTCCCCCTCTGGTCTCTGAGCCAGGAGCCAGCTTGGGCGGCAAAGCCTCCCGCACAGCCTGGTTCCAAGTGCCATGTGAGCCTGGTGCAGCTGTGCCCCTGGGGTCTCATATCTCCACGGTCTGTCCTTGGAGTCAGTGATATCTGCATATGCACTGAGCACACTGGGAAGACTGACTTCCCAGTCTTGTATTTCCTCCACCATTGGAGCAACCAGCAAGTTTCAGGGCTCTTCCTGGAATAGATGTGGCCAGGTCTTCTATTCCAGAGTTGGCTCCTTCTAAAATGTGGTCCTTTGCGAGCACCTGCAGCCTATTCAATGAATTCTGATTCTCTTGAAGCCAATGCTTGCCTTTCTGTATTTGCCATGGGATTAAACACTTCCCATAGAGGATTCTAGTCTAGTAAATAACTAGGCTTCAGGAAATATCTGACTGGCATTAGTATTTGTTGCAAGTATCTTTAAAAAACAGGCGACTGGCCCTCTTTAGAAGCAACCCCTCCGCTGAGTTGGGAATCACAGTTTCTTAGGGATTCCTGTTTGTGTGAGGTGACATCAAAGACAAGAATAGGTCTTCTGCTTTCATACCCTCCCTGATATACATGTCAGTCATCCTTTTTAATAAAGTCCTAGAGCTGAAAGTAAGTTGCTTCCATAGCCATGCATGGCCATTGACTACTTTTTAATAGAGGCTGACTACGTTTACAATTCTTAGTAGCTCCTGTCTGTGTGCAGAATTCTTCCAGAACTGAAAACAGCCAGTGTCATCTGATTTCCTTGCCTTTTGTCAGTAATGGAATCCTCTGTTTTTAAAATGGACAAACCTACAAGTCTGTACAAGTTAGTACTAAGGGCCCCTTGGTTTACCCGGATGTGGAGAAATTGTTTTATCCTGGCTCGAGTGTCTCACCCACTTCAATCACGGAAGGTCTTTGGATGCAGTGCCCTCAAGTCTGACTTTAAATCCTCTTTAGAAAGAGGTGGGCACCTCACTGGGATTGTTTTGCTGTGCCTCTGCTGAGACCATGGCCACGCAGCTGATTGACCGGTACAAAGTGCACCTAAGTGACTACCTTAGCTGGAGATGCCTTGAAGACCATGGAGTCTTGTTTTTCCAGCTCTGAAGCAGGGGTGTGGACAATTTGCCAAAATTCTCTTGTATTTCAGGTTCAGCCAGACTCTCACAACTCATCTGGATTCCTTTATGGCCAAATCTTCATTCAGAGTTTGGAACACTCAGACCTTCTGGGCACCTATTCTCCCAGAACACGGCCATCACACAGCCCTGGTAACTGGCACGTGCCTCTACCTCCTAGGGAAGGCAGGAACTAGGAGTTCTAGTAGCATGAAAATGTTGCTACCTCAGCAACAAGGGCATCTTGAGCACAGATAAGGCTGGTGGCTGGAAATGTTACTGGTAGCACACTGCTCCTTGGAGATCACAATTACCGCTCTGAAGAAGGCTCGTGTCCCACACCACACAAACCACGCTAGAATAGGTTATTTCTACATGTTTGCAAAGTTTCTTAATACCATCCTGGTTTGATCAGCTGTTCCTCTGATTGGAAAGGTAGGTGGGCCTGGCACTACCTTGGGCAGGCCCACACAGCTGGCCATCTCCTGTAATCACTGACTGTGGCAGAGGGACTGGTGGCTTGAGCCCAGAATGGATAGCACAGAAACTTCCCAACAGGACACAAGCACATAATTCTGCCTCTCCTCTTGGAGACTTGGGAAAGAACCTCCCATAAAGTCCCACCTACTCTGTGGTAAGAATAAAATCCCACCCACCTGCAACTTGGTAATTTCTCCAGGCAGGAAAGCTTTGGAACACTTGAGTAAAATGGAGCATGCTTGACAGAGTTAGAATCTTCTGCACATTGGGGTTTGCTGTTGGCATGTAGCTTAGAATTTTGGGTGGTAGGAAAAAAGGGAGGCATGAAACATAGAAATATTTTAGTATATTTTAGGATATGAGACTAAAGCTAGATTTGAGCCATCATAACAATCTTTTTTTGGACAAAAGATAATGATACAAACAATAAAAGCTGATTTGTGTGAAGCAATCTGTGGAAAAGTGTGCCTTGTATTTTAGCTTAAGACTTCAGCCACCACATACCAGAGGGGTCTGTGAACCTGATTCTCAGTCTCCTGCCTGGAAAAGCACTGTTCTACTGTGAGAGCCCAGTCTTCCTCCCCACACACTTCAGATGTCCACCTTCTGTCCTAGCACATAGCTTGTCTGTATGAGAAGAGTCCCCTCAATCTCTCTCAAATTCCAACTGCTCTGGTTTTGAGAGCTGACAGAGCAGACTACAGTAGAAGTCAGAGTTCTTGATGACTGTGTTATTGGGCCTCCTGGCCTAATGGATTCAACTGGGCCCACACACTACTCTTGGTGGCCCTGGATAGGCCAGTCTTGCCCATTTTCTGACCACAGATCTTAGTCATTAATTTAGCTAACAGTCACTGAGGGCCTACACTGTGCCACATTTGGTGACTGGCATGGGTGCCCTAGCAAAAGAGAGGTGTTAGCAAGAGAAATGAAACAACCACTGGACTTTCAGCCCAACCTACTGAAGTCAGTAGCTGCAGCTGTATCTGTGAAGAACTCAGGTGAGCAAGGGTCACACTGTGTCATACTGTTTCTTCTCCCCACCTCTCCCAAAGGAAATTCTCCTCCACCTTTTCCAGTGATGCTGCTGAGAAGATTGCTCATTGGACACATGAACTTTGCGCAGGACAAAGCTTCATAACAAGTTATTCTGGCATATTCCCCAATAAAGCCCAATAGGTAAGTTAGTCTTGCCAGCAGAAAGAACAGCAGGAGAAATAAGTGACTCATGATTTAGAATCCAAAAAATTTGCACCAACAGATGGTAGGTGGCTTTGACACAACAGTCCTCACCCTGAAAATACCTGGGGATTCAGCCAACAGCAGTCAGTCTAGGACAGTCCTACTGAAGAAATGGCCTGTGGACCAGCAGCTACCCCAGAGCCCCATATAAAATACCTCACAAAGATACAAAGACCGTTCCAATTAATGTTCTGAAAGACGAGTGACAGATCACCAGTGTCACAAAAGTTGGCCCTGAAGGAATGAAACTTTGCTTTTGTTTATCCTTTTAAGGACCGTTTTAAATGGGTTTCCAATGTCAGATAAAGCCACTCTGCCTCAAGAGACTAGGAAGTTTCTCTTTGAAGTTTTTACTAAAGTCTTCCTAATAAGCTAAAATAAAAGAGTACTTGGTTGCCTATGATTTGGGGCATATTTTGAATGAGCTTTTTATATGATAAGAGAATCTACTTTTCTATTTTCTAAACAGAATCACAAAGAAAACTCGATTCCTTTGGCATTACTTTGGAAGTCATCCTGGGAATGAAAACAGGAATATCTGATTTCTTAGTCTATGACAATACATCACAATGAGGTTGAAAGTTCACAAGCCTATTTACCCTCACGCCGAAACCAGAACCAACTAAACCTCGCCAGAGACACAGGCAGGTCAGAGCCACTGTGGAGTTGCTGGCAAGCAAAGTGGAGCAGACTTCTGATGACTCAGTCACCAACACGCAAGACAGCATCTCACGTTATAAAAATAAATTTGGATGTTTTATTTTTTGTCCATACTAGTGACGAGCCATTTTCCAATCCTGATTAGGGAAGCTCCTCTCAGCCTTCTCTGATGTTACTTTGTGTCCCTCTACATCGGAACAGCTCAGGATACAGCAGCCCTCTTAAACAGCCTATGGAAGAAGAACTCTTCAGAGATATTTCTGGACACACTTACATTCTATCCCAAGAAGCTGAACAACTGATGTGACAAATGCCAGGGGGTAAAATTAATCAGGCTTCATTCTGCCTGCCCCACTTGGAGGGGCACTCTGGCTTGCTGGACTGAGTAGACTGCATGGGCTGAGATGGCCATCCTGAAGGTGATGGTGACTCAGTGGAGGGAGGTGGTAATAGAGGTCATGAGAGGTGATCAGATTTTGGATATGCAATCCTTTTTTCTTTAGGGAAAAAATAAAAGGAGTATGGTTTGATGAGCTGGGGGTTACCCAAGTGGATTTGGCTTGACCGATATCACCAGTGTAGATAGTAAACAAGCAAACTATCATGACAACAAGGTATATGGCAGGCAGGGGACAAGTACTAACCAGAAGCCACCATTCATATGAAGGACAAAGCATACAGAGAAAACCAAGGCTATTCATGGCTTTAATTGAGATACAACTAAAAAGGTCATTGATCCATGCAATGTTTGGGTCCAAGTTAGGACTAATGACCACCTGACTCTGGGAGTGTTGTGGCTGACTGAGGCTGCTTAATAAAACATCGTATTCCAATGAAATGGCATAGCATTTAACTCTCCCTGGTCCCTCCCTTTCCTGTCACCCTTTATTACATTGACTCAAATTCAGCAGCAGATTTGGGATGGTTTCTTCTTGGAAGGGTTTAGCAACCTAAGTAATGTATTCCCTGGTCTCATTTTCATGCCCACCGTTCTTTACAATGAGGGGGTCTGTGCAGTGGGGCCATGGTCCTTTTGGTGACCAGCTGAGAACTGTACCTCTGATGTGTGTCCTTTGTGACAGGAGATGTGGGTATCATGGGTCCACTGTGACTGGTGAGTACCCCTAACAGACAGCCTGGGCCTGATTAAGTCCTAGCTCTGTTAGCAAGAATAACCCATCACCCACAGATAAATCCTGGATGAATGGTGGCGACATACACTCTCCCACTGGGAAGTACACCCTCGAAACCACTGTCCCTATCAACTCTGCAACCAACCTTGGGATGCTATGGATGTCTGCCCAGACCATACTCAAGCATACCATGTCCTGAAGACCCTGGGATCCAGACTCTCTGTAGGGGCTTCCTGCACCCAGGCTTTGGCCTCCCTTGTTCTTTTCCTCCTGACGGAGCTCCCAGCAGGCCTTCATCATGGTCAAGTCATCTGTAACATTAATTCAACAAATAGATATGCCATCGTCCCATATGCCAGGCACACATCAGCAAATGACAGGACAGACCTAAAATCCCCATGCTTATGGAACTTACATTTAGCAAGGGAAAGAGAGAAAGTAAACAAT